TGTTGCTCAGGGTAGGCTAGGAGCATCTGAATATGATCTAACATCCAAGAATAATAATTATATAGTTGGCTCTTTGGCAGGTTATTTTGGAGTAAAGATGATGCAAGTGTTTTGTATGTGCTTTATCCTGTGAAAGGCTGAGCTATGTTAGCCTATGGGAGGGGATGTAGAACAAAACAAAAAAGGCAAAATCCATTTTATTTTAACATTTAGCCAATTTGAGTATAATAGTTTCCAGCTCTGCTCACTCGTTTAGAGACTGGTCTGCTATTTCTTACAGGTGACTCTGCTGTTGTCTATTTAAACCTCACATTTATGAAAATTCTTATAAATTGTACCTACTGAAATGTGAATGATGCGTATCTCCTTAGTTTAAATCAAAGCTCTGAGTTACATATCCTTCTGGCAAAGAAACTGAGTCTGTTTTCCCCTTTATGCTACAGTACGTGGGTACGCTGCTGCCACTGATGCGCATGTTCTCTGATGAGCGCATTCAGAATAGCGGCTATGTCAGTGCTCATGCCAGTTCCCTGTGGGAATCGCCTGCAAAGTAGATCACATGAGCAGGAAGTCACTGTTCTAGGCACTTGCGGTCTTCTGCTGAAAATGCATTAAGTGCAACTGAAGGCTTCAGCTTACTCCGTGTTGCAGGTTTTTGTTTCAGAGGGAGTTGGAAGCCCTCTTCCTAACATTGCTATATCCCTTTACTCTGAACCAGCTAACAAACAAGTGTAAACAAACAGGTCATAGCTGCTGTCATAGTGATGTGGTGCCACCATCCATCTCTGTTGACACCAGCAGTGTGGCACCACTGCGATGCTCTGCCTCTGGTGGGTGCTTCTGGGTGGCCCAGCTCCCTTGGACCAGCTGGCACAAAGCAGTTGAGGAGCTTGTGGGTGGCAAATACAAGATTAAGACTCTTGTCCTTGCACAGTGGATATATAAATTTCAGTGTAATTAGTTGGGCCAAACAGGTTTGTTATTAGTTTTTGTACTGGAGGGGGCAGGAGCCTGTGCAGAAGCAGAAGCTTTTGTCATGTGTGCCCTCCTCTGTGTGTCCTACCTCTGTCCTGGCTTGTATACTGTTTGAATTGAATACAACTCAAATGTAATGTGCTGATTATGAGCACATTTATGAGCTGAACTGCTAAAAAGCAAAACACTGTCATGTTGTCAAACTGACTTCTTTTGTTTTGTTTATTTTTTTGTTACAAATACCAGCTCCAGCATAGGGCATGAGGTAGTAAAGCTAACATCCTGTGCCTGGTGTCTCTTATTTGTTCTGGCAGGGATTCATAGTTGATCGAACATAGTCCAGGACAGCAGCATCACAGAGACTTTTTTTTTTCTTCCTCTTTTTAACAGGCGTTCTGAAAGTCTTACCCTGAGTAGTATCTCCAGTTTGACTATACCTGTATGCTGCACTTGCGGTCAAAATAAAGGAAGCTGAAGAAATTAAATTTCTTCTCTTTCTACTGCTAGCTTCTTACGGATGTGGGTAGGGCTGCTGCTCTTTTAAAGCTCAACCACCTCTGTGCTTGTGGACAGCTCCTGCTCTGCCCCATATCCAAATCACATGTATGCCAAAATGTGCAAGCGCTAAGTATGTGGTGGCACATCAATGAGAAGTTGTGTCTGGTGCCATCACTGAGGTCTAACTAGGTCTCTCCTGAGTCATCTCAGGAGCGTTGTCAGTGGAAACAGAGGATGAGTGAGAGTTCAGAACAAGATATTTGCGCTCTCCTGAGGAGGAGAAACACCAGGACCTAGTGACTGACAGCTTCTCCAGGAACAATTACTCCAACCCTCACTGAGCATCACTGTAGGGCTGTGGTGGGTGCTCCTGGATCTCCAGAGGGGAGCATCAAGGAAAAGAATGTGTAGTGAGAGTAATTTGTCAGTAGTGTCTCAGAGCGAGGCATGACTCTAGAGAGATGACTGATGCTTACACACAACACTGGAGTGATTTCTGTGAAATGTTAACTCAGTAAATGGGTTGTTTCAGAATCATGAACGCTTCTGAAAATATACCTGCATCGTTTGTTCTTTGTCGATGGCTTTTCTTGCATCCATATTGCTGTACAAGTGGGAAATGCTATCTATCATCATTGTGGTGCAGACTTCAACTGCTCTGAGGTTACGCTGTAGAGACTGTGGAGCTGTTTGGGCAAAATTACTAACTACATCTACCCACTAAAGTGGGTACTACTAGTAGTAAAGTGCTTGCACTGCTTTTGTGGTGTGTTGGGACAGAAAAGTTGTGCGTCTGCACTGCTGTATATCTACACCAGTATCCCCACCCTCTGAATGGCAGTATGATAGGCAAGCTGGAAGCAGCACGTGTGGGTAAGCAGTCTGCCAGCCTGAGCTAACAGACTTTCCCAATGAGCTGGAGGCTGGAGAATGTGCTGTGGAGAGGTCAGAGCAGTTGGAGCTGTCCTGGTCCTATTGTACTCGAAAGGGCAAATCCTGGTCCTGTGTGGTCACGTAACTTTCTGTTTTTTGTTTGTTTTTTTTTTTTTTTTGTCCAGTTGGGGTTTTTTTCTCCTATTCCTGTGCCTTTTCCGTGCCATGATTGTGGATGAGGAGCTCACTATAGATTACATTTTATGGCCATTGTCATGTATCAGTCCTGACCCAGTGCTTGTTGGGAAGCAATGGACTCTGTCTGTATAGAAGCTGGTCATTTTTATAATGGAAAAGTGCTCAGGAAGACTAAAATGGAAGTGATTCAGCAAAGAGCAGCATGATGAAAATCTCTGCTCAGATGCCTCTTAGTGTGAAACTCTAGCAGTCTCAAGAGTGGAGAGTAGGTGTCTGTTTACTCCTCCAAGTGCAGTGTTTAGGAAATGAAGGTGGTCTTTATGGTGTAGCTGTCACAGGTCTCATTGTCCTTTATGGCTCCTGGTTCAGCAATGTGCAGTAACCCCGTGTCTAATTCTCTGTCGCCTTTGGGACGTGCAGATGCCTGACAGCTGGTTTGCAGAGCCCTGGTTTGCACAGCCCAGCCGATCCCCTGCAGACACTTGTCACAGCAGCCTTACAGGGTTGTCCAGGTTTTTTGAACTGTAAGTGCTCTACCTTCTGTCACTAGGATCCCTTCAGCTAACCACAAGGCATGAACACCAGGGAAAAATGAGATACATCTTTGTGTCAGCCCATTATATATAAACTGCAGTCATCGGGATCACTTTATCTGAGATTAAATGTGTCTCACTGAAGAGTGCTTGGCCTCAAGTTTTGGAAGGGTCAGCATTCAACATCTTGCATGTGCCGTGCTCCTGAACGGAAAGGCTTTTAGCCCCCAGGGAGCCTGCCAGCCCCACCTGTCAGCTGCCCCGAGGTTTCTCTATGCTGTGGAAACAGGAAGGGTTTATCAGTATTAATGATAAACAGACACAGTATTGTGGTTTAACTAGTATGCAAAAATTTACTGTTGGAGAGGAGTTAATCATGTGTTGCATTTAATATTAAACCCTAGCAAGTTACTTAATAGCTGTCACCTGCGATAAGTGCAACCTGCAGTGCTGCTTGCAGATGCTATTGCTGCCCATTGGCAGTAACTGCTCTGGAATGTCTTAAATGTGATCTGCAATACTTGTTAGCTGCAACAAAAAGAAATAAGTCTAAACTGACAATATAAATAGATTCTCAAACTACAATATAAAGCAGCGCTTAGTCATTTTCCCATCCCATTAAAACTTTTTTTTTGGTCAAAGTAGCCTGAATTTGACCTGGATGAGGAACAGATTTAGTTGTTTTACATCTCTTAATCTCTTCTGGTGAATGTAGTAACTTATCTCTACCAACTGCATGACTGAAAGTTTGGGATGGCTTGGTTTATTAACGGGTTTTCTGGGTTTTGGACAGATGCTCCTCATCAGGACATTAAGCTATGTAAAATTACATCTGTAACATATTCTGACCAGGTCATTATATTGTTATTTTTTAGAGTGGATATCCCAGCCCTCTGTGTAAAAGTTTGGAACCCATCTACGTACCAGAGAACCATTTCTAGCATGTTAGCATTTCTAACATGAAAACTAATTTTAAAAACCTGCAAAACCAAGGAGAAAAATGAAACAGCAAAAAGCAAAAATCCTGGGCTTTCCAGAGCATATAAGAAAAAGTGTGTCTGACTTTAGAAAGATGTGAACTTTTAGTAGAGCTTTCCTATACTTGGAAAATCCCTCCCCTGCCTGAATACTCCTCATGGTGATTTTTCTCCCCTTGCCCTCACAAGGGGAAGAATTGTGAATGTCCCTTTTCTCATCATCTTCCACAGAGCTTGTCTAATCTTGATTGGCTCTAACCTCTGTTAAGCTGGGCTGAAGTTGGCCAACAGGCTCAAAAGTTGTTTGAGTGGTTGCAGAGCATGACTGCATCAACCTGCTTCCTTAAGTAGTGCTTCAGGTCTCTGAACTTCTGCAGACTTTTCAGGGTTCCCTTCTATAGAAACCTCTGCGTCTTGCACTCAGTACCTGCCACTGCTTGCAAGGTCACATGCAGTTATGTGTTGTCTCCTGTAGTTGTGTATAGTATACACAGCTGCATACATGCAAATCATTATAATCGGCTTTTATTGCATTGGTATCGTACAGTGACAGTCAGATGACATTTACTTTTCTGTTCATAAAAAGGGCCTATCAAACTTACAGGGCCACACCATGTAACCTTAGGGTTCGGAATGAGTAATTTGTCCTACAGTCTTACCTGTGTAAGTTGTAATTATTGAGAAATGCAGAGTATGAGCAAAAGGAGGGAGGCCAGTGGGTGGGTAAAGGCTATAAAACAGTGGAAAAAAATCATGTGTAAGTTAATACTGGAAGTGAGAAGTGTGGGTTTGTAAAGAAGATACCTGAAGCAATGAACAGCACCTAGAAGCTAAGCTGTACTTCTGTGTATTTTATTTTTTTTAAAAGGACAAATGAATGCCCGGTAGAACCAAAGATCAGTAAGCTGGTCCTGTCCTGACACGGGTCAGACCTGGCGAGCCTAGCCCATGTCTCTGTGATGCTGTATTGCAGGATGTGTGAGGCTGCATGAAGCTGTTGTGTGGTTATTTATGGGAATTTCATGCCTGTTTCTGGTATCTGACTTGGGAACAGGCTAATGAAAAATTTATGTCTTACAAATTCCTGACAATAATACTGACTTTGTTGTGATGTTACCATGTGCAAAGAGTTGTACGTGTTGTAAGCGCTGGTGAACACTCCAATACTTAGGAATGTTTTTTCAATGCTGCATTTGTCATCTAACCATAGAGCAAAACCTGGCGAGCCTGTTGCTCAGCCCTCTTCCCCTGCTAGTCTGTCTGAAGCAACAGTATGCAAAGTGCTACAAAGAAGGCAGTTGTATCCCTTTTGTGGAAAATAGCAACTGGATTGGGCAAAATAAAAAGAGAAAAAGATCTTGACAGAAGGTGCTTATTGCAGCTTGAATCTGGTGGATTTTGTCACACTAATACTCATCCCTCTGAAGGCACATGATACCATATATTGACCATCAGGATAATTTTTTTTTTTATTTACGTGTGTGTATATATATGTGTGTGTATATAAATATATCTCAATATCAATCACAATTAGACACGATGCTAGCAGTGGGAATGGAACACATACATTAGTGAAGCTTTCTCTGTAGTGGCAACCCTGCTCTGGAATTGCCACTTTATCAAACCAGGCCCTCAAACATACATTGATAAAAATAGAGTGCCAGTGGTGATTATATTTACCTAACTGTGATCTAATGAAGTTTTCTCTGCATTTTTCCCTTTAGCAAAGTATCCAGAGATCAAGACCCTGATGGGACCAGATCCACATTTAAAGTGGATTGTATCTGGAATGGTTTTCACCCAGTTTCTAGCATGCTACCTGGTGAAAGACTTATCTTGGAAGTGGATTTTCTTCTGGGCTTACGCCTTTGGGGGTTGCATCAACCATTCGCTGACCCTAGCCATCCATGATATTTCACATAACGTCGCCTTTGGGAACAAGCAGGCCAGGTGGAACCGATGGTTTGCAATCTTTGCCAACTTGCCAGTTGGCATCCCTTATTCTGCCTCCTTCAAGAAATACCACATTGACCATCATCGGTACCTGGGTGGGGACAGCCTGGATGTGGACATTCCCACAGACTTTGAAGGCTGGTTCTTCTGTACGCCGCTTCGGAAACTGCTTTGGCTTTTCCTTCAACCTCTGTTCTACAGTCTGAGACCACTGTATGTGAACCCCAAAGCAATTACACAGATGGAAATTTTTAACGCTCTTGTCCAGCTTTTTGTAGACCTGATAATTTACTACCTTTGGGGGCTCAAACCTATTATTTACTTAATAGCAGGTACAATTCTTTGCATGGGCTTACATCCCATTTCTGGGCACTTCATAGCAGAACACTACATGTTCTTAAAAGGGTATGAGACATACTCTTATTACGGACCTCTGAATTGGCTCACCTTTAATGTAGGTTACCACATGGAGCATCATGATTTCCCCAGCATTCCCGGATGCCGTTTGCCAATGGTAAGTACGTCATAAACATGAGTGAATTGGATTTTTTATAAAAGCTGCTAAACTGTCTCAAAGAAATGACTCTGAATCATAGCAATGGATCAATTTAAAAAAAGAAGGGGGAGGGAAGAAAGCTTTTGGATTTGTTTCTAATTCTTTCTTTTTAAGCAGGAGATTGAGAGAAATGGCTGCCAAACCGCTGTAATATGTAGTTTATTTGATGGAAACAAGAACATCTGAGCCTCAGAGGTCTTAAGGAATGATTTTTGCATGATTAAAATCCTCCAACAATACTCTAAATTTCTCCACTTCCTTCCTTCCACAGCCACCAGGTTTTGTCTCTTTGAAATTTAAAGGCTCGTCTAAAGTGAGGCAGGTGGCAATTGCTACCTGAAACTTGTCTAATGATCAGTCCGCTAACTATATTGCTTGATTAACATCAAATAAAAGTCTTTCTAGTTTTGAGATGACGTTAAGTATCAGGGCATGTTCCAGCCTGACACAAATAGCACTAGACAATAAAGCTGCACTCTGCATGGCTTATTTCACCTCTGCTGCCCCACCCACAGAAACTGAGGATGCCTGGTCTGTCATGGGGAAAGTCCTGTGGCTTTCCTCTTTTGAAAGTCAAGCCCCTTTTTGTTCACGTTCTACCAGTTGTGGGAATCACATTTGCAAAGCCCAGGTGTCTAGGAGTGGTTTTCAGTCTCCCTCCAGGTGTGTAGCTGCTCTTCTGGGTTTTAATACAAGGGTTCCTGAGCAGTGTTAGAGCTACGTGACTTCAAAGTACTGCTCTGGCATCCAAATCCTCTGGCATAGTAGGAAGGAAACATCTGTCTCTGGTCTGATGCAAAGTTGGGGGCTGCCACTGTAACATCCTCACGAGGTGGAGGCAGGGCTGAGGAGGCTGAGGTTCTGGAGCTGCAGCCTCCCCACTGCTGCACAATGTACAACTATGATGATGGCATATCCAGGCAACCGTGCTTTGCAGGTTCATGTTCTCCATCCCAGGAACACTGACTGAGAGGAGATTCAGAACAAGAGGGGATTTTCTTCTGGTGGAGAAGAGCATGGGGAGCCCCTATATAGCCTGGGTTCTGTGTTAACACCCCTCCTTCACTGCACTGCTGGAGGTCTGTCCTAGCAAAGCTGGCCATTTCTGGTGGGGGTCTGAGCAACCGGTAAAGCAGCCCACGTTCCCATGTGAAGTTTTTCTGTCAGGCTCTCCCATTGCTGGTACACCTGATAGCTCAGCTGCAAAGTGTATGAGCTTAGCTTTAGCTTCAAATGTTCAAACTTGTTAGATAGGGTTAGATATTTAGATTACTGAAATGTAAATAGAAGAAGACAAGGAGGTTAGGTCTCTATCTTACACAAGGGAAGTGAGTGACTAATTGAACTTGCTGGGACTGTTGCTCCAGACCTGATTGAGACCTGAAAAGCTCTTCCCCACCCACATCACAAATAGTTCAGCCTAATTCCCTGAGGCAGTGCAGCAGCTGGAAGTGTCTGCCCTCCTGAGTACAGAGGATGGAGTTATTAGCTGAATTTTATGGGCTTGTGTTCATGTGTTTCTAGCTCTAGGGTAACAGAGACTTATCCTGCTGGTGGAGGAGATACCAGTCTTGTTAATTGTTGTTGCCTGACAGAAAACTTTGAGTGATCAATTACAAGTGAAAATCTATTACGACTTGAAAATCCTTTGGCAAAACAGTTAGTGCAGAAAATTCTTTGTCTGTTAAAACAAGTTGGTTATTCTTTTCTGCAAACTGAGAAGACAAATTCTCTGCCTCTTTGGTGGAAGGAGATAAGGGGACAGATCCTCTCTGGGTAGGTTTAATGTTTGAACTTCCTAACAGGTAGGGGTAGAAACCTCCCCTTGCTCTCCTCTGCTTAACCTCCCAGCAAATTCTTCACTCAGCAAAGGTCAGTTTTTTTCAGATCTAGTCTTTTAGGCGCTTGAGCTTCTAATAGTTGAATTGTGTAATATGGTTGACCTCCCATTATAGCTATTTTTATTTTTAATTATTGGCAAGTAGAAAGTGAAATAAAGATTTTTTTTTTTTTGGCTCCTGCGTGATTAAGAGCAGGGGAGAAATATGGTCATAGAATAACTGGATCTGAATCTTGGAAAGCAACTGGCTCTTCCACTGGCTTATCAGAATAGTAAATTCAGCTTTGTCCTTTATTACAGGTGTCTCATTCAGAATGTTCTGAGTAATGTATTTGCCAATGGAAAGACCTTTGCCCTAGGACTGTGACAGATTTGAAAGAGGAAGAAGTAGGCTGTGCTGTAAGCTTGTAGATATTAAAGATGAGTGACATGAGTTTGCACTAAGAACTTGTCCCACTAGTATAATGAGAGATTACACAAGAGACCATGAAATTTAACATTATAATGAGGGACCTTGAGGTCCCTCATTGTCAAGGATGAAGGACGTTGAGCTGTTGGAGCAGGTCCAGAGGAGGGCCACAAAGATGATCAGAGGGCTGGAGCACCTCCCCTATGAGGACAGGATGAAGGAGTTGGGGTTGTTCAGCCTGGAGACGAGAAGGCTCTGGGGGGACCTTATAGCAGCCTTCCAGTACCTGAATGGGGCCTACAGGAGAGATGGGGAAGGACATTTTACAAGGGCATGTAGCAACAGGACGAGGGGTAATGGATTTAAACTGGAAGAGAGCAGATTTAGATTAGATATTAGGAAGAAATTCTTTACTGTGAGGGTGGTGGGGCACTGGCACAGGTTTCCCAGAGAAGCTGTGGATGCCCCATCCCTGGAGGTGTTCAAGGCCAGGCTGGATGAGGCTTTGAGCAACCTGGTCTAGTGGGAGGTGTCCCAGGTGGCAGGGGGGGTGGAAATAGATGATCTCTAAGGTCCCTTCCAAACCAAATCATTTTATGATTGTATGACCTGCTCTAAAACAAAAAAACTAACCCTATAGACTCAGTCTTTGCATGAACCCTTATAACTATAAAATATTGCATTGTTTACCAAATTATAAAAAGATCCATTCTTTATTATCTGAAGGATTTAATGTACTTCTGGAAAGGGGACAGGAGAATGAGGAATTCAGTACTCTTCCTACAAGCTGCAGTAAAAACTGTAGCATTACCAGAGGCAAACTAGTTACTCATTAAACTTGTGGGAAAAGGAAAAGACATGGTATGAAACCAGATTTATTAGACAGACAACACTGGAAAACATGGTAGATGTGTTGGTTTTGAATTGCAGATTTCATTAACCCTGTGATGGCCAGGAGGGCTAGCTTGAGTAGTTGTTCCCCCCCCACCCCCGTTAAGGACTATGGAGGCAACTTCTGAAATATGCCTTCAGGCATTCTAAGCATCATTTTTCAGCTTCTTGTCATAAAGGTCTCTAGCTTCTGTATCGCCCCAGGACAAAGGGTCTATAACAGACATGGTGAAATACTAGGCTGCATTTAACTTTTGCTCCTATCTGATACGATGGAGTAGGATTGGGGTCTGGTTCCTGTGCTCTACAAGCACAAAACCAGAAGCAAAGTTTCAGTCTAAAAGATGTGATTTCTTACCTACCACCTTGATCTACTTGAAGAAAAGCCTAAATATACCAGGTGCCAAGTGCCTAATAAGCTTCATGCAGACTTTGCCATTTCTTGTTATCCTTCTATGATAACTTCCATTCACAAACTTGCAGCTAAAATCTGTAAGGAAGAAGGGAGGGAGGAGTTGAAGCAAATAGACCATCTCCAATACAATAGGGAGAGCTTGAGGGTTAAGTCAGGAGCAGGACCTAGGATCACTTTGTCACAGTGCCTCCTTCTTTGACACAATCTATGATCTGGCTACTCCTCCATCATATCAGAGAGGAGCAAAATTTGCTACCTGGAAACTGCCATCGGCAGGTTTTGTGCTGCACCCAGAATGCAACATGGAGGATGATTCCTCCAGCCTCAAACATAATTAATAGATGTAGTTTAATGTTGTATTTAAAAGGGAATCTGCATTAAAAACCAATTATTTTCTGCCCTCCCACCCCCCAAATTTTCTGGCTGGTAAGGAGAAGATAATTTTGTTTTACATATGGAGACACTAAGAAATTATGATAGATGAACTGCTTTTGTCAGGAAACTTGCATAGATCCATTGTAAAAGAGAAACTGCTTTAAAAATTCTTCCCTGCCATGTGATAACAAAATGGGAACATGCACCTAACAAACTTCCTAGTCTTTTCCATAAGAAGACACTTCAGAAGTCGTCCCTCTAACTGCATTCATTATTTTGCCTTTTCCTCATTCCCTTGTCACAAATATTTTATTGCAATTTACCTTCTCTCTATTGTTTCTGTACATCTCATACAGTTGTCCTGCCCAGAGCACAGGGACTTTGCCAGAGGTGCAGGTGCTGCCTGCGCTCCTGCACGAGGTGCCGCTGGGCACAGAGCCGAGCAGGAGCAAAGAACTGCTTTGTGCAGGTGTAAGTTACTGTCCCACAGCTTTTCTAGGGTAACACACTCCAGAGCAAGCCTCTGCTCATCTCTTGTAGTTTCCATACTGGGCTTCTTATTCAGAATGAGCTGCCACCATACTCTGCAGACAGGTGCTAAACAGATACGCTTGGCGAACAGGCAACTCCACCACCACCTGATGCTGGCGAGCACTTGGCAGCCGTGACTGTGCTGCCTGCTTCCAGAATACGGTGTGTGTGATCTTCTTCAAAATTTGCTGCTGGGTATTTTGATTAGTCATCTTAATTATCCAACAATACTTGTATTCTAGGTGCCTCTTTTATGTCTGTAATGAAGCTGCAGAATAGGTGTATGGAATATATTTAAGTGCAAGTTTCCAGAGTTGCATGTTGTGTCCACCTGAGCTGTTCAGCACCATGCCCAGACTATGCTGCTGCTCATGTTTACTGAAAGTATGGAAACTATTGAGTTGAACATAGGCTGTTTATTGGCCTCTTCTCTGAGCCATTTTTTCCTACCTTTACCCGTGGAGTAATTTTTATGGCCTTTGGTGCCAGAAGGCACAGCCACTGCCTGAGACACTGTTCCTAGGAGATGAATTGGTGTCTGTGATACTCCAGCCCTCCACTTCTATGTGCAAGGGGCAATACAGAAAGACTTTCTAAAGCCCATGTAGTGGTCAAGGTCTGTCATGATCAAGAGCTCTTCAGAATAACGTAACCAGCTGAGAAAACGTCTGGTTCAGACCATTGTCTCTCTGGGCAAGAAATACATGGGCCTTCTGGAGAAGAGGGGAATGGTAGACTTGCCATATGAACTTGGCTAGTATAGATGAGGGCTGAATTACTGTTGCAAGTCAAAATTCAGAAAGAACGTCTAAGATGGGGGTGGGGAGGGAAGGTCTGTGCATTCCCTGTGCTAGGGAATGACCATGTCAGAGCTGGAGTGACGCTTTTGGGGCTTGGGATCTGAGACCTCCATTGTGTCTGGATAAGGCCTCACCAGTGGCTTTCATTTAAGGGAGTCAGGAAAGCTTGTTATCTAAATAGTTGTCTCTCTCATCCTTTGACTATTTCAATTACCCCGCTGGGAAAAGGGAGGATGCAAAACCCAGATTAAGTTATTTCTGACTGTGGTTACAGAAGGAGTGCAGGGAACTAGATCTGCATCTCCAGAGATCTTACCCAGTACCTGGAAATCACTCTTCCAGTCATTAACAAATACCTCTAAGGGGAAATGCTGTTATTGTCTGAATCCCATTGGAAACTGAAACACATTTGAAGTACAGACCAACACTTGAAAGCAGGATATAGGGAATTATTAGGAAGTTGGAGGTATTCAGTGAAAGGCAGAATATAATCAGCTCTGAAGTGACAACTCCACCTCCAACACGGCACTACTGTGCCACCAGCACAGAGTGCCCAGGGGCTGCAGTACAGAGGTGAAATATCTTAACAGAACTTGTATGTTACCCAGCCTACCTCACAGGAAAGCGTCTGCTTGCAAGCTGAATTAACAAGGTAATTAATAGTGAGTGGTACTGGCTTATAATTTAACTTTTGCTGGACTTCTTACCTTTTCACAGTCAAAATGCTGTGTTAGGATTCCACCATTACACCTCGGATGCTGATGAGACCCTCCTCCTGGATGTCAATTTGTGTGTAACCCTTTTGACGTTCACTGGAAGTCCTTGCTGTGCTTAGCATAGCTGGCTTGAAAATTCTGCAGGGTGTTTAAAGAGAGAAGTCATACTGTCCAGCAAGACAAGCTACTCTGCTATAGAGCTTTGTTTGTCTAGGAGGTGGAGCTGTAATAAAACCATGCGCAAGCAATTTATATGCAAGTGTTAACAGACTCTGCTGCTTTGTACATGCGTTCAAAAAGCAGAGCATCTAGCTGGAGCAGGGGCTCCTGATAAACTGGGAATCCTCGTAGTCCCCTGAACCTGCCAGGTTGGAAACCTCTTTGTCATCCGGTTCTGGCCTTGCTCCTACTACAAGCACCAGCCCCAGTGATGTGCAACAGTCTTACGTCTTCTCTGGTGGCAACAGTCTTAAGACTTTGGGAGTTGTAACAGGGGTGAAATTTTATTAGACTCATGATCTAATAATGAGTCTTGCAGCATTTTTAACACCAGCCTGAGGAGAACAGACCGCCCCTGCAATCTCCTCTGCCTGCTGGAGGAACCTGTCTCTCAGATTTGCATCACGGTAGCAGAATGGAGGAAAGAAAATTACATGTAGCCAAGGCTGTGTCTGGCATTTTCTCAAATAGCATTTCTCTCCTACCTGGCACCTTCGGCAGACTAGTATTACAAGTGGCAAACAGGACTTTAAATACAGCGTGGTGGAGTCTTGGCAATTTATAGACTGGATTAGTCATCTCATTGTGGAGATCCCTCCACCTCCCAAATGAGAGAAAATAGTTCTGACTGAAAACAGAGATCCATCATCTTTCAAATTCTGACATTGCGAGGTAAAACTTACATCAGAAATCTGCTGAGAAGTATCTGAATGTATTTAAGTACATCTCATTTGGCTGAACTTCAGAAGCTCACAAACAGTAACAAGTAACTTCAGGTTATGGCTGTGCTATCAGATCTGAATAGGAAGACTGAAACCCACCTGCCACAGTGCAGCTAAACAGCTCCTTCTCTCTCTTCTTCTTCCAGGTGAAGAAGATTGCAGCAGAATATTACGATAACCTCCCACATCACCAGTCCTGGATTCGAGTTCTGTGGGACTTTGTTTTTGATGACACTATTGGTCCTTATTCAAGGGTTAAGAGACTATGCAAGCTGGCAAATGGAAGCTAATGGACTAGCTCCAGCTGCTGTATTGGGGTTTCGTTTGTTTGCTTGAATGACTTAAGTTTTCTGTAGAAGTAGAAGGATGTTTGTGTGTGCTCCTTAGACCAAGAGGATGAGTGTGAAAACGAAGTGACTGGATGCACTGTTTTAGACTGTTGATACTTTTAATACAGGATATTTGTGTATGTAACCCTGAGAAACTAGAAACAAATGAGCTACAATTATGTGAACCTTTGGTCTAGGCTTAGTATGAGCTTCCTGGGCCACATGTGCCCAACTCTGAGTTTTGGCCTGGTATGAAACAGATAATGCTTGGTGTGTGCATGCGTGAGCATGCGTGTGTGTAGTTCAGAACTGGTTTCTCTTCATGCCAGATGAGACGTAGATGCTCTGCGTGCACAGGACTGTGAAAGCAAGGAGGACTGGCACGCAGTAGCAAGTGATACTTTCTGGCAAACTTATGGGTGCCTTTAGCGCAATGTCTTGTCTAATCTATTATCTTTTGATACTGTCTGGTATTTGAGATTTTGTATATGCAATGAAATATGTGTATATTTTTGTACATTTTGATCATTATTGTAGTAGCTGCTATTTGAACTGTATTCAAAGACTTTTTCTAAACCTTTTCTGAATCCATTTCTGTTCTTAGGATCTAATACTCTGTGTAGCTGAGTGACAGAGCTGAACTGTGACATGGAGAAACCCTTCCTTTAGTCTTCTGCTTGCTGTCTGATCAGCAGCATGGATGTGCCCCTGGAGGAACTGGGTGGTCCTTTCTCACTCACTGTTTCAACAATATTCATAACTTTATATTTCCCATACTTTTCCCCACTGTAAGTCCTTCTCTTTGTTTCTCTCCCTACTTATCTTACTTTGTGCTATTGACATTAACCTTCACCTGCCATTTCCACCCACTGGAATAGTTAAACCTTCCAGCCTGTCCTCTCCAACTATAAACTTCTGGCTATCCTCAATTCTGTACCATCAAAAACGTTAGTCACCATACCTTTTATCTTGTGAGTCAGGAGTTCAGATGCCATTTTACAACTTCCCTCCACCCTGGAAAGCTGACACCTTATTTCTGTCCTTACTAAGTGGTTAAAAAATAATAGATCTATAAAGGCTTTTTTTATACCTTAACCCTCTTAACAGTTTGACTTTTTTGTTTTATTTTGGAAATCCCTGTGTGTAACAAAGAAAATTATTATTCTGCATTCTTGTTGGTCCCTCAAAGTATGCTATTAGACCTGGGAAGCCTGATTTCCTCAATAAATGCAGTTTCGTTCCTTCCTCCTACAGCACTGGATCCAATGAGTCAGTCTGTCTGTTCACTAGCCTGGCACACCAGGCAGTTGAGTGAGCCTACAGCAATTTGTGTTCCTCCTCCTCCATTTCCCTTTCCTTCATTTTCCTTGTCAGTCTGATTTTGGCAGTTGGGTAAATACCCAGGTTTGCTCAGCAGTGCAAGATCCTTTGTGATGCAGGGGCTGAACACCAGTTTATTCACAGATATTGTTTTGGTCTGATTCTTTTTCTGGAAAAGAAGAGGAAGATTCAGACTTCACTGGTTCTTCAGGTGCCTTTTCTCCCAAAGGAAGTAGCTTTGGTGTGGGAACCTCCATTGACTTCTTCGTCTTGGTGCTCGTATCAGGAGCTTCACTTTTCAATTAATTTGCTTCAGTGTTGCAGGTACTCCATGACCACATATTCAAATTCCCGTGTCCTTAGCAAGCTTGGCCAAGTTAGCAAGTTAATATAACATAATAAAGATAATGCTATCTTCCTTAGTGTGACCATTGTCCTCCTCCATGATGGAGAGTGACCTTTGTTTAGTTCCCTTACTCAGCTGTTCCATGATAGTTGCCTATGTGGTCTATACATTACTAGCCAGCGCCTGACACAGACACTATGGCATAAACAGAGGGTAACCAATAATTGGCAACTGCTGTTGATTCTGCCTCCCACCAGCATTTCTGTCACAGTCCCACCTTGCTTTGTCTGGGCAGCCCCACAGCCCTCCTGCTCCACACTGTCCATCTCAGCAGGGACAGGAAGGGGCTGGAAGCCTGGTTGGTGCCTGTAGATGTGCGATGCAAGCTGAGTTTCAATGTGTGTGGGCACTGATGGAGAAGGCTGGGATTCTGTCCTCTCTATGGGTGCTTGTCCTTGCCACTACCAGTAAAGTTGGCAGAAGGGTGGGGTTTTTTTGTTTTATTTTTTGTTTTGTTTTGGTTTTTTTTGTAACCACAGGGCAAATGGGTCTGTGTTAAAAGAACACTGGGGCTATGTATAGTTTTATTTTCTTTGCTTAAAAATTAATCCAGATGCCCTTCATTGTGTGGCCACAGTAATGCTCTGGCAAGAGGAGATAGGAGGGACAAATAGCTGTATGACAGGTCGGAGTGGAGGTTAATACCCCTTTTGATGTCTGCTGATGGAAAATGCCTGTGGCTGGCTCTCTTGCAGCAGTACCCCCAACAAGCCCAGGAGGGACACCTGGCTCTACAGAGACAACAGGCAAACTGAATTAGTGTCTGTGAGGGGGAAATCCTCTGGCAGTGCTGCTACTGCAAATAAGCTGCCCTGGACATCCCTGGTGCTGGAGCTGCAAAAGCACCAGTGATGCCAGGACTGCGTCAGCTAAGTTTCCCCTTCCAGCCCCGCACACCTTGCTCCTACAGCTATTAAGTGGCCCTTTGCAAAGTTCAGCTCATTATGTCTTAATTATACGAGGCCTGCAAAGGCAGAAGAAAAAAGTAAGGAAAACTCATTTACAGCAGGCGGCTGATGTTAACAGAACATGCTGTATCCAGGCTGTGCCCTTGGCCTGAATTACCATGCAGTTATTACTGACCTTAGGCATAACGCCACATTCCAAGGCAAAACATGAACCATTCCAAGCCCCAACTTCCTGAAGCTTTATTGAGATTACAGGAGAGTTTCACAGAATGGTTGTGATGAACTGAGAGGCAGAAGTTTTGAAAAGTACTTGCCCTTGTCAGGTATGCCATTACATAGGTTTATAATTAAGAAATGCATGAGCTATTGTATGAGATTTATCATAGAATCATAGAATGGTTTGGGTTGGAAGGGACCTTAAAGATCATCGAGTTCCAACCCCTCTGCCATGGGCAGGGACACCTCCCATTAGACCAGGTTGCTCAAAGGCCTCATCCAGCCTGGCCTTTTCTCACCACGCTCACAGTAAAAGATTTCTTCTTAATAGCTAATATAAGTCTATGCATTTTTTCTGCTTAAAACTGCTACCCCTCATCCTATCACTACACCCCGTGATCAAGAGTGCCTCCCCATCTCTCCTGTAGCCCCATTTAAGTACTGGAAGGCTGCTATAAAGTCTCCTCGGAGCCTTCTCTTCTCCAAGCTGAACAACCCCAACTCTCTCAGCCTGTCCTCGTACAGGAGGTGGTCCAGCCCGCTGACCATCTTCATGGCCGCCTCTGAACTCACTCCAACAGGTCCATGTCCTTCTTATGTTGGGGGCCCCAGAGCTGAACTGCAGGTGGGGTCTCATGAGAGTGGAATCGAGGGGGAGAATCATCATCTCTCTCGACCTGCTGGTTATGCTAACAGAGCAGTGTAATCTTTGCTGTTACTGATTCTTGTCTGTGTTCTTCCTACTGGAAAGGCTGCTTCTCCTGGTTCTGGGGTTGTTGTATTTTGTTGCACATCAATGTCTGCCAGCTTTAGTTCCCATGGGGAAATCTTATGCCACTGTCTAACCTGTCTCTTGCGTTCTGCTGGCATTAAACAGCTAACAGACATCAGGACCTTGCTGCTACGTTAAACACAAATTTACCCGTTTTCCATATTTCATCTACAGTATAGGCACAGTGAAAAACAAGACTGTTTTCTAAAAGGCAGATGGGGTTGCTTTGAAGAGTGCTGAAGGACAATGCAACATTCATCAAGCCGCAGCAGATAACATTTTACAACTAACTGCAAAGCACGCCCCACCCCACCTCCTCTCCTAGGTCTCCTGCTGCTGGCAAGCAGTCCCTGCTGCCTGCTGCCATGCTCTGGGAGGCCTGGGGGACACGAGGAAGGGGACAGCCACAGCCTCTCCTGGGCTGCTGCAGCAGGCTCTGCTTCCGAAATAATTCCCGGCACTTGGCTTTTAAAATGAAATTTTCAGGAAGGCCTGAAGCAAAGCAGGTGTGCTTGGAAAATATTTGACAGGTTTCAATAGCTGAACTGCAATCTCTTGCCTTTTGCATTTCAAGAAGATGGTATCAAGACTATTGCCATGTAAAGCTTCCGCCAAACTAAGTCAAGCAGAAATTCCCAAGATTGTGCTGGTGGAAAGAATGGCTCTAAAGAAAAAAAATGTATGATCTGAAACATATGACTGCGTGTGCGCTGTTAAGTACTCATATTCTGTACTCATATTACTCATACTCATCCTGGACTCATATTTTTTTGACTTCACGTTCTGTGAAATAAAGCTCAAGACCTGTATAACCTTAACAGATGAAAAATGTGAGATATTAACACAACTCCCCTTAAGCCTCTAGTTCAGCAGTGCTGTGCCAGCGATGTTGGCTTACATCCTCCTAATGCCTTTGGTAGCCTTGTTCTGCATAAATATTTTTATTTACTGGAAGCCGTTATGAGTGCAGGTGATGGGGCTTGGGTTTTTTTTCAATGATGGCTGGAGATGCAGTGGGATGGTTAGCGGTGACCTGAGAAGAGCTGTAAGCCACTGTCTTTCACTGACTTTGCCAAAAAGCTGCTGAGGTTGCCGCAGCCTGACAGCAGGAGGTGGTGCTGAGCCGGCAACGTGAGGGCTGGGCAGGTGAGAGCCAGCTCTCCCTGTAAAAGAAGGCAGGGCTGTTGCCCTTTGCACCAGCCATAACGCACTCAGGCTCTCCCCTCGTGCTGCGCAGCGGTGGCCAGGCAGAGCTGCCACCCCACAGTGAGTCTCGGTCACCTTCCTTGCATCATCAACTCAACTGACACAAAAGTGTGGAAGTTCAAGGGACGAATGAAACAAAGAAAGGCAGGGCCATGTGGACAATAAACAGTTTATTACCAATATGAACACAGATACTGTGATGCACTGACGTACCATTTTTTTTTTTTTATATTGTGATAACTCTGAGACAAAGAACTTGTTGGCTGACAACTAACATGTCTCTGTTTCTTCTGGTGATGCCACAATACATTTCTGTTGGCAAAGGATCTTCATTTACATCGCAGACTACTAGTAAAATTACTTTGAAGTCATCTATCAAAAGCAAATGGTTCACGTGTGTTCTTATCTACTACTAAAAAGAAAGGTAATACATTTAAATAAGCAAATACAAAATACAAAAAAGGCTGACAAAATCCAATGTGCAGTGTCAGATGAAATCTAAAAAATCCAGAAATTTAAAATTTAATATTCTTTAGATTAAGACTTTTAAAATGAAGCGGATCCAAGGCAGCAGCAAGCTTCAAAGTGTGCTGAGTCTGCTAATAAAAAGGGTATAAGAACAAAGACAGTGCCGGTGTCCTCTCTCACCATCTTGCATGACCTTGGTACACTTAGAAATGATCCAGTCTTCCTAGCATTCTTAGTACCGTCCAAATGCTTTGCAATCATTATGTTGTACTGATTCTACTCAACTCCTGCCGTATGGCTAGAAAACCAAACCAAAAAGTTAATGCATAATAGTTTATACCCAGTGTGATGGAAAATGCTAAGTATAGAGGTTGCAGAAAGTACACGCTGGTAAAAGGATGAGTGGAGGGTAAAAGGATGAGTAAGGGTAAGCAGTCAGCTGTTTGCTTGCAAACTGCAGTTGTGGTTTAAGAAGTTTCATCTGTGGTTTATGTGAATGTCTTATTTTGCACTGGAATGAACTAGGGAGGCTCTGAGGGCCAAGCTGCTGGGACAGTAGCGTACGGGCGAGGGTCTCCTCAACTGCAAACTGCCTCGTGGTTGTGTGAGCACACGGGTCTACGGCAAGGGGACAGGGAATGGATTTTAGCTGTTTCACAGTCTCCTTTTTCCCCTTCTGTACAAATCTAAGATGGGGAGTGCAGGGTGTGAACATGCATTTTCATATGCCCTAATGTGGGCTTCAAATGGGTGTTTTGCTGTGCATTTCAATAATGGTCCTGAAAAATAGATTTAGTCATATATTGCAGTCATGTATTGCTGTATATTTATAAAAAAGTACCGATGCATTTAGTACTGCTGTTGTACTTTTCAAGGAATTATTAAAATACATGGCTATTTGGAAAGCTCTAATTGAGTGAAGGTCTGACATAGGTCTTCAAGCATAGAAAGCCTACAGAAGATGCTCAGGAAGGATTTTCAGTTTGGTACCTTTGTCCCTTCCTCAGCCGGGACCTGTGTGGCCAGCTAGTTACAAGTGATTTCACGCTCCCTGATTGTGATAAATGGGCAGGCCCTTTCTCACACTCCCACCTGTGAGAAACACCAGCCAGTGAATTTCTCACAGGTTGGGAGCAAAAGTGCTCGTCAACAGCATAAAAACAAAGGATGCAAACACAGTGTCACGATCAGAGCTTGGATAAAGTGGATGCTTGTTCTTCAAATGTGTATATAGATCGGAGCTGCTCAGAGAAATCTGAAAACAGCAGGGAACTCTCTGCAGTTCCTATCGTCTTATCTATGGGAAATTAGTCATAAAGATGAGAAAAATAATAATTTTTCTCTTTCTTACCATCAATTATCTCCTCTTTCACTTTGTGTAACTCTCTTACAACTTCCTCCAATATTTCCTGATGAGACAAAACACAAGTCAGCTGCTCAGAATTTCCTTCTAACCAGTAGAAGAAAATGCAAGTTTAACACGGTTGGGCTTGTCCCCCACCTCCACTGATGATCAGAGCCTAGCACTACTAACAGCTACAACTGAACTCCCAGACCAAGGACACGGAAGATGCTGGCATATTTATTTGCACGTTTCTGTACAGACATCGTGATCAAATAGCAGTGAGATTGTGCTCTCTTGCTGCTCAGCAGCTAGCCCTTCTCTAAGCACCTAGTTATAGAGGAAATCAGAAGACTGAACAGCTGTTTTGCTTGTACAGCGCATGCATGGGGGAAAATGGGTAGCTTGTTAAATCTCTTAAGTGCAAGAGACGTTTTCACTCACCTGTTTCATTCGATCAAAATCTAAGGCATCCATAGCCACATCATTGCTGCTGCTCACTGGCTTCATCCTTGAGAAATGGAAGAAGGGGATAAAAAAGCCAGTCAGTTCCTTGCAATGCATGCTAAACTACACCCATCTGATGGTGTGGATGAAATTCACCCCAGACCAGGAGCAACCGTGTTCGAGTGCTGGAGTGGAGGCTCCCTCCTGTGCTGCTCAGGAGTTCAGCAGCCGGAGAGCAGGACTGCTCCCATTGGTACAGCCTGACCTCAAATAGTGCTGGAGTGGAGGCTCCCTCCTGTGCCGCTCAGGAGTTCAGCTGCTCCCATTGGTACAGCCTGACCTCAAAGATGCTGCTTTCTCCTATTGCAGACATATCGGAGGGAGCGCAAAGGCTGCACTGAAACTTACTTTACTCTTTATTGTTTTTGGTGTTGGGAGTCTCAATTATTTCAGAGTAAAAAATTTTGAGATGTCCTCAGGGGATAAAGCCTGTTTAACGATGTGTTTTATTACAGCATTTGCAATTTCCAAGCTAGATGTCTGGTTTTCTCTCACAGTCTGTTTTCTGTAAAGCAACCCTGTCTTTGCCACCTAGACTTTAATTGGGTGCTAAAGTAATAGCAGAATACACGTTAGAAAAATATTATAGGGAAAATAATAACCCAGTAGTCCTTTCCTCAGAAGGCCTGACTGAGTCAAGTGGAGCTTGCTGATAACACTGTGTAGTACAGGCACTTTTTCCTGACTCAGAGATAAAACCAATCTCCCCTTAATTACTAGTACACTTGTGCGTTATCGATCTTCCAGGATGGCATTAGTCAGTGCGCTGAACTCTGATGATGGCTGATAAAATAAGTTAAGGTAACAGAAGCTGCTTGACTTTCTCTTTTAAAAAATCAGTAACTCTGAAACATTTAAAAAATTAACCATACTATATAATTCATAGAAAAGGCTTCAAATAACTTTGCCATCATCTCTGGGCCCAAACTGGTCAGAGATTCTGCTGCTCCTAGGGTATGCTTGGTCTTGCAACCCTTTCTTGGGAAAATCTTAACATGTCTCCTACCATCTCACAGGTAAGCAGGGAGTTAAGACACACAAATGACATCAAACTGAACAGGAATGGAAACAGGTCATTGCTGAGAGCTTTTGAAGGCTGCCCTGCTTCCCCCACAGAATTAATTCGAGCAAGCAAAGACTGAACACTACTCCAGATGTTAAACTATTAAAAGGATTTTTTTCCCACTGAACTTCTCCTCCTTCCATGATGGAAGCAGAGAAGATAGCTGGTGAAAACTTGATGGCTGCTTTAAATAGCCCACACTTCATTCCCATTTGCAAGGAGAAGGAATAGTCTTTCTGTATCTATTGGAAACTCACATATTTCCTAGAACCAAAATGCTTTTAGAAGAGCTGGAGAGACTGTATTTTGCTCTAGTATGTATCCCTCTGAATGTTTGGGCAGGGCATGTTGCAGCATCTTTAACACAGCAGCAAGTACATGCAGAGAGTTGCCATTGGCAACTTTCTCTCTGCAGACTATCAGCACTGTCATATACGTAACAGTGTAAAATAAGGGACATCTCTTTGCAGTAAAAGGTGAACACATGTAAGCCTGTATTCTACCTCCTTATTCGTCTTAGCCATCCATCTCAGTGTCCAGTACTGCAGTAACCCTGGGTGGTCCTGGATCAGCACTGGAAGAAATCTCTCTTTAGCTGGCCAACATCAAACTTTATCTCAGTCTCAATCTCTGTGGGTAAGAACATGGGTGGTGATACTTCTGCTTGGCTGTTCTGACTGACAGGACTTGTGGAGTCCTACTTCAGACTTCTTGGCTTTTGACACCTGCCAGCTTTTGTACCCCATATTTCTGAATGCCCTGTCTGTGGCTGGGCCTTTTTACAGCATGATGTTGTTAACTTACTGGACCAAGATTTGCTCTCCTTTCTCATGCACCCACTGCAGTTGCAGTGCACTGCAGTTGGAGGAATAACTTCCCTTCTCCCAGCTGCAGGCTCTTCAGATCGTTTCTGCCTTTGCTTTCAAATTTCTACAAAGTTGGGCAACGAAAACTTCTATTGGCAGGGTCATCCTGAACCTGATGCTCCAAAACCTGCCTTCCACATGGCACAGAATGCTGCCAAGCCTCTGATTCACGAGCACGGATGCTCTAAGTGCTTGTTTAAGTGTGATTAAAGTCTGTGATGCTTGTGCCCGCCTAAGCAGGGGGGTATGTCCATGGAACAAGCCTTTGACTCGAAACACTCTACCTTCTCACTTTGTGCAGCGACAGACAAAGCAGATTGTAATAGAATGAGTAAAAGATGTGACAGAAGGTGAACATTACTGCTGAATGATGGGATTAGCAAAAGGACAAGCCAAGATGGTTAAGAAGCCAGGCTGTTAGCCAGTACCTAGAAGACACGTGGGATTGTGTGGGGCTCTTAGCTTCACAGCTCTTCGCCACTGATGGATTTCTACAGCAATGGAATGAAACGAGACATGAGTTGTGCACATGCCACGGGGACAGCGTGACCAGCCCGACTGCTAGCCAGCTGCAGGGACAACCCATGCAGCTCACCTAGAAAGTAATGAAGATACAGGCTTTTCAACAGAATTGCTCCTTTCCCATGGCTTCTTCCCAGAGTCTGGAAAACAAAAATGAAAAGTTACCACATATTATTTTTTCTCTAACAATAAAAAATCCTGAAGTTGATTGTCTTATACAGCTGCTTTCATTCAGTGAGGATGAGTGACTTAGATAGATCCATCAAAGCAGGAGTGTTCAATGAGTGTGGTTGCCTATGTTAAAGAGAAAGCATTGGCAAAAATCTGTTTAGTGAGCCCTGTAATTAGGGATCGGATAGTTAAGCAATACTAAAAAGTCATGGAACTGGAACAGTAGGAAGAAAAGCACAAATGACTTCTATTAAGAAATAAAGGCTAATTGCTGCAAGGCTTATTTTATTGTACAATACTTATTTGTATTTTAAGTTAAAAAGTCTTAGGTTTTTTTGTCTGCATAGTTGGCAGAAATGTGAGTGTATCTAAAAAAAGGCAGTGAGACCCCCACTAGGCAAATGCCCACAGAGGATTTATTTAATGTTTTCTACATTTCTAACTTGCAGAACATTCCCAAAAGCTGCACTACATAAACCTTGTTACTGAAAACACTTACTGTCATCCCAATCTCCTTGTATGCAACTAGTCTAAAAAAAAAAAAGTTAACTGTTTCAGACACTTGAATAACACAACTTTATACACATGCATTTGCTCCTCTGTGAGGCCCTAAAAAGTGCTTTAAAAGAATTGTGGGCACTCCCAGGAAATCTCTACATCTCATTCTTCATTTACGTGCACCTTTTTGCTGGCTTCTTCCCCTTCCCTTGCAAAACATGCAAATCATGGCTTTGTTCCAAAACAAAGCTGTAATGGTTAAATACTCATTCCCCTGGGAGAGATTTATTTTAGCATGTATGAAAGCCAAGGCTGACACAAGGATGAATCTGACTGGCTTGCAACTTGTCTACTCAAATACAGTTATTTCAACTCATCATCAGAAAAACATCGTTTGGGGGCTCCTTAATTTCACCTAGTAACTCTCAGGATCAGGCTTACTGCAACAAGCTACTAGGTTAAGGAAGGATAACAGTCTGAGACCCAAACCCCAACTGTAGAATCCAGATCAGCTACACTACCAAGAGTAAAATAATACAGCTTTTTTCTCTTAGAAGATTCAGGTGCACAATGTTGAAGATGCTGATCTTCACCTACATGTCTGGATCCCTTTAACTAGATTGGCTGTATTGTCATTTTCTTGTCTGTGAAACATATGAAATCACCATTTCTTGCTGAGTACTGTATTTAAAACAAAAGGTATTTGGGAATTTTTCTGTTAGTTACTGCTGTTGCACTCAGAAGTAGGACGATGAACCCAGAGTCTAGAGGTGGCGGAGAAGACTAGATTAAGAAGACAACTAAACCACTAGTAGTAATTCAATTTAATACCTGATGAATTTTGCTGCTGCTGGGTGGGACCTCGTGTACTTGGTGAAGGAGAGGTGCTAGCATCATCCTACAAAGAGAAAACCAGGACATTACTTAATTCTGGAGATGAAGCGCAGAGCCCTCTTCTGTGCTGGAGACCAGCTGCAGTTCAGGTGCTACAAGAGCAACTTTCCTCCAAGCTTGTCCAACAGGCACTGCTGCCAACATATGGCTCAAGTCCATTTAAACTTTGATCTTTCTCTCCATTTAGCATGGCAAAATACATAATTTTTAATTTTTGTTAACATGCACACCTTTTAATTATTTCCCTGAATCATTCTCATCCCTGTATACCAAACCAGGCTGAATTACCACTCTAAAGCGCGGGTTGCTGTAGTCTAAATACAAAACACCTGCTTCACAAATTTAGAAACTCTCTGTGATACGGAAACTGAGCCACCTGAAGGAACAGTAGGTCAGATCCCAGCCTTTTAGCCCAGGAAAGTCACTGCTTCAGTGAGAGTAGTCCAGGTACTAACAGAACATAACTAAATCAATCAATACTCCTCCTAAGTAGAAGATTAAACACTACGTCACAGATGTGGCCTCTTTTTTTTCTGGGATTTATGTGTGACCCTAAAACATTATGGGAGATCATAAAACATTAACCCATACATTTAACATGTCAATATTATTTAGCAGCCCTCAAAAGACACTCAGGCAAAGCATTAATTATGCACTGTAAAATGGAATTGCACTGAGTTTGACAGAAGATAGCCTCACCACAAAGTGTACGCAAGATACACATCAAACAGATGTTCTTTAAAACACCTTTCGAAGTTTGGTGCTATTGAAAAGTTTGATTGGGGGATATAACCTAATGCAGAGCTTCAAGGAAAGAGAACAAGGGGCAGAAAGACAGGAGAGGCTGTATAGTCAGAAGCTAAATGGTGCCTTTCATCTCTGAGTATATGGTTCAAAACCAGCTTTGGGGCAAGATTAAGAGCAATGGTTGCCTAGTAGCATCAAGGGTTCAATAGGCAAATTCCATGCTTGAAGCATCCCTTGAGGAACATGCAACAAATAGCTGCTTTTCTTCTCAAACAGTGCAAGTGCTTATACCTGCTCTTGCTACAAACCTTTCAGACTGGGGTGAGACCTTCATTTTCTGAATGGCATTCAGCCCTGTTACCTTGTCTTTGGAGGGAATATCTCTGTATAGGTGATACGAGGCACACACGATGCTTTATGAACTTGTAGCCATGGCAGAGAGCCTTCACAAGGGTACGGGTTGGGAACAGGAATGCTCTATGAGCAGCAGTCCAGAAAAGCACTGCATGGGAAGGGACACAGCGTAAATCCTGGCCTCTCTTGAAACTGGAATGACCTCCCACGTTTTACCAGTTCAGCAGCAGGTAAAAAAAAAGTGTTTTAATCTGCATGTTGAACTCAAAATTGCTGCATCAATTTCAGTAAGACAGAGTCAAATCAAAACTCTTGTTTAATTGTTTTTGTGGACAACATCCAGAGAGAACAGTTAACATAGAAATGAATCAAAGTTCCCTAAAGTTGTCAAAATTCTTTCTGATTTTAGTGTAAGTATCATGAACACACATTTTAACTTGTGAATGCTCTAGTGGTTAATACACTGTTTCCCCTTCCGCCCCCAGAGACATGTTTTAGGTGCACTCTGGGGTCCGAAGTGAGCTCTTGTCCTGGTGGGGGACTTCAA